ACATACTTCACATCAAGTGATATTTCCTCTTAAATGAAACTCCGAGAAGTATGCTACCAAAATATTTGTTTTTTTCATTAGGTCAAGTGCATGGATAGTTAATTTTTTATTTTTAAGAATAATACAATATTCTTGGAATTAATTTCATTAAAAATTAATTCAAATCTGAATAAAATATGAAAAATAAATATTTTCAATGATATATTTTTTAAAATTTAATTTAACTGGAATTAAGAGCGTATATGCAACAAAAATAAAATTTTTAAGCAAAATTTATTAATTACCTAATAAAAAATAAATAAAAAATTTAATAAAAACTAATAAGAAATACTTAATATTAGAAATAAAAAATCAAAATTATTTTTGGTAAGTTTTTTACCAATTTTTACATTACATATACGTAACGTGTAAAGTGGATTTTTCCACGTAATGTGTTAAATTATTTTTTAAAAAACAAATTAAAAAAAATTATCATTCTGAAAATTTTAATTATTAAGTAGAATAGAAGTAGATTATTTATTATGGTATATTTTTCAAAATTTTATTTAACAGGAATTTAGTGCGTATACGTATTATATGAGATACACATAATAAATTAAATTAATTAAATTAATTTTCTTTAATGCTTCTAAAAATAATCCCAACGGGAAAATTTCGTTTTTTAATAAAATTTCATAATGATTTGAAATCAATATTGAAAATGATTTTGTTTTAAAAATGAACGATTAATATTAGTACTTCAATATAAACAAATTTGAATTGTTTATATTATTATGGTAACGACCAACGCAAAAAATTTAAGTCGTTATAATTAACAGAGCTTAAGATATTATAATTTAAAAATATTATAATTTAAAAAAATTTAAATCTAATTCTCAAAATACTATTAGTCATAAGATATTACTAGTCCTAAGATAAAAAAAATTTTAGTCTAATCACAGATTTCGAAAATTTCGTTAATTTCTGTCAAAATCATTTTCGCTAGTAAAAGATATATGTATATAAAAGAAATATATAAAAGAAATATGCAAATTTTACGTAAAGTTTAAAGTTATATATAATTTTTTTAACCGTGTTGTATTATGACTACCATAGACGTATATTTTGCATTGTCACTTATACCTTTGAACTAATATTATACGAGTAACAGAGTAATACCAGCTTCCATTAAATTTTTATCACATTAATATCTGGTAATAAATCATTGTTGTGTACATAAGTCTATTATTATAATTTTGCAGGAAGAAGAAGATTGTCTTTCGCAAAAACACAATGATTTTATTTTGCAGTGCCATCATATCATCTTATCAAATTATTCTCTATCAGCGTTTTAATGTCTGACACGTACATTTTTTTTAATTTTATTATAAAGATATTCTATTAAATCCACACATTCGAATATGTACCATACATTTTTATGGGCGTATAATGACTCTTCAAATTTATTCAAAACGGAATAACTACAATTATTATCTTAAGAGATGTTATCTAATCGAAATGAAAACCAATATTTCGTATAAATATTTGTAAAGATACTTCAGGTAAATAAAAATAATAATCTTTAAAAAATATTTTTGATTATTATTGAACTTTAGACTTTTGTTAAGAAGAGAAAAATGATGAAATAAAATATACATAATTTCATAATTAAGTGAAAACTAATAAATATGTTGCAACATCCACTAAATTTAAATTAGTGGATTTTGAGTTTCTATTTCTTAATGGATATATTATTATTTTTGAAATATCTAATGTTATAAATCTAAAAAGTTTTTAATAATTGTTCAAAATTTAACATCAACCTTTAATAAATAAATTTATAACATTATTTAGAGCGTATATTATTTAGAATAAAAATGAAAATAACAGAATTCTGAGCTTGCACTGAAGCAGTGTAACCATAGCAGATCTTCTGCTCAAGCAACTGATATTATTCGAATCAAACGCATACACACTTTTAAATAAATGTCTTTCGTTAAGATTTTTCTAATATCAGATGTAGATAAGATTTACATATTAGTATTCCTATCTTACATTAAATCAAATCTGGGTAGTACAGAATGATACTAGAATCCTCATCCTCTTCCAAACAGAGACGACATCTCAGACTAACCCATCTTATCGATATAATAACAGTAAAGATTGTCACACTTATTTTCTTATCTTATTCTAAATCAAATCCGAGTAATAAAGATTGAGACTAGAAGTCTCAACCATCTTATCGATATAGTAACCCAAATAAAGATGTCCTGAGGGGTAGTCTGCTAGCAGCCTTAGCTCTGTCATATTTAAGACAAACATCTTTTTGTAAGAAATAAAAATACCATTTTAATCTGGCGGTCATCTAAAGTTTCACCTTCTTGAGATCATAATCAGAATTTTAGTTGTGCATAAACTAATTCCATTATAAGGTGACAGTTCATAAATTTTTATTGTTAAATCAGTTCTACAGACATTTTCTGTAGATTCATAACGGATCCAAAATATGTATGCACCTATTACTCGAAAGAATATATGGAAAACTACAGCATAAACCAATATATCGTTTTTAAGGTATATTAAAGTATAAATAATCGGCTCTCAAAATGTGTCACAAATTATTGTCAATATTTGTTAATTTATAATATGGTTTCTGAGAATAATGTGTATTACGTATTATTAACTACAAAGTCTGTTGTTTTTTATAACAACAGTTTTTGTATTAACTAACAATCATTGATTGACTATGCTAGAGGCTTACTTTTTAAACGATCTTGTTCAGCTTCAGGACCCCCACATTTTATGGTTTGCCAAAGGTTCAAGGTGGTTTATGGGGTAATAGGCCTAGGTGAATGCTCAGAATCGTTAGTATAACCTAACGTTACCTACAATCATTTGTCAAGATATTGTAAAACAATAAAGTTAACTGTAAGTTAACCTGTAAATGCTCGCGCGTCACTGTAATATTATTCCATTGCTTCAACGATGGTTTGTTATTACAAACGAACTGCATACATGTTGTCATAGCAAAAGGAAAACCATCACATCTAATGACTTCTTCCAGGACTATAAACGAATTGATTCCAATATCTAGAAAATAGTTTACTTACTAGGTAAGCAGTGATATTGAGGTAGACTGTTTGAAATTTGTTTACCTTATTTGAAAGACAAAATCGTTTAACACATATAGCTTCTGGAGTTATATTTATATATCTGTATAACCTGGTAAATTGAGGGCATTATAATGAACGTTAGATGACTTTGAGTAAAAATTGTTTTTTTTTGTGTCCTCTAAATCTGAACTAACCCAATACTGTAAATTGTTCTTAAATTACAAAAAAAATATCGAACTACTGTTCTCTGTTTGATATTTAGAAATTAATGATCAAAAATAGTTTGGTAGATACCATTTGTAATCTAATATTCAGTTATATAAAAAATCCCCTAGCAGAAGGTGTATTCAAGGAAACTAATATATAAAACTTTTTATTACTATGAAAATAAAGCACTTTATGATAATGGATGTTGTTTATTTTGACTGATAAAATTTATAAAAATTGTTCAATAGGTACAGTTTTAAAGATTAAGTAATATGCAAAATCTTGAATTGAAGAGAGGGAGAGGTCTCAATAGCTTTTGGTATGTTCGAATATATTAGTTTTTATTCTGTGAATGTGCAGTATAGATATAGATTTTTGCATAAAAAAGTTTTTTTATTATTATATACTTTTTAAAACTAATATTTGGATAGTCAAGAGCAGGATAGTGATATTTAATGTGTAATATTAATATATTTTATAAAAAGAAAACAAATTGTTAAAAATAAATTAATAAACGTTATAATGATAAAAACTCAATTTAATTAAATAAACAGTATGTAAATTTGTGATACTTTTTTGTATTCTATGATCTGTGTTAATATTTACATATTCATTTTAGTTTATTATAACACAATGAAATTTAATGTGTTTTGTTATCTCTCTGTTGTTACCTGATTTAATAGAATTAGTAATTTTTTAAAATTACATACATACTATATTTTGTAAATTAATTTCATAGATTATAGAGTTTAAACTAAATATGTATTCGTTAATGATTGTAGTTTTAGTTTTCCACGTTAAAAAATTTCATTACAAAATTATAAAATGCAAGGTAAAATAAATTTATCTAACTCATTTTTTATACTACAATTAAATTTTTTTGATTTTAATTATAACTAAAACTAATTACGAATTATTTAATAAAAATGTTAAATCACGTTTAAAATGCTATTCCAAAATTAAAAAACCTGTATTAAATTTAACCTTAGAGTTAATTTTTAAAAATTACTAGAATTAGAATAGAATAGAATAGAATAGAATAGAATAGAATAGAATAGAATAGAATAGAATAGAATAGAATAGAATAGAATAGAATAGAATAGAATAGAATAGAATAGAATAGAATAGAATAGGTAGAATTAAAAAGGTTGAAATAAAAGTTAACCTTTATAGAAATTATTTTTAATAAATTCTTTTTCAGATGATTTCTAAAACGCTACATATCCTCCAAACCGGAGCTGTTTAGACCAGATGCGATCGCGGGCCAATGCAAATCACTGTACAGATTAAAGGGCCGAAGAAACAAATACATACGTTCATAGTTGTTTTTGATTAAAATAAAAATAAGGTTATAATGTTAAATTTAGTTTTATTAATTTATCAATTTAAATTTATTTGGTATACCATAAAAATAAAAAAAGGTACTTTTACCAGTAGACCAAAAGAAAATTTGCGTAATTGTAGTAGATTAAAAACATGCACAAATATTACCCGCGGGCCGCATGTAGCCTGCCGGCTTTGAACAGCCCTGCTCTAAACTATTATCAGAAATGATCAGTTTAATGACGAGAACTGTTAGCAACAGTCAAATCTAACTTTTAGCTTTTATAAATATATTATATGATTGAGTAGTTAATTACTACACAAATATTATACTCTAGTTTCTATAGTTCAATTATAACAAGTTTGTTACAGACTTACCTGATCTATGTTCCTGTAAAGCTCGATAGAGATCATTTTGATCTAAAGTTTTTTTTCGGCCCTTAAAAAATGTGGGCATTGTAAAACTAAAAAGAAATAAATTTTAAAAAAATTAATAATAATAATAAAATAATTATTTCAAGCATTATTTTTCGAAAAAATAAATAAATGGCGAGAAGCGCTTAAAATGTTTTTGTAATAATTACATTAATTATAATTTATAAGCGAATTAAATTGCTGTGTACAAGCGCTAATATACAATATATAGTTTCAGTTATGGCCTTGATCATATAATATATATGTATATATTTTTACAATTGTTTTATAGAAAAAAAAAATAGATTTTTTAACTTACCAAAACATAAGCGTTGAGAGTGGATTCGCACGCTCGCGGGGATTTTCCGGCAGTTCATCCGCTTTTATTGATTGCATTTTGTATATATGTTGAATGTATGTTTAAAGGGGGTACGAAAGGTTGATAAAAGTGTTTTTATAGCACTATATTATTGCTATTTTATTTTGAATTTAATGTTGACTCTGCAATTTAAAAAATATAAAAATAACTTAATAAATTTTTAAAAATTAATAACAGATAATGCAAATAATTCAACAAATTTTTAAAAAATGAATATTTTTAGATGATGTGCATAATATGTGAAGAAAATATAGATATTTTCTTTAGATATTACATTTAATGAGTAATACTAAAATTAGTTTACTACAAAAATATATTTATATTTGTATATTCCTTTAAGAAGCTATGTGCATTCAAATTGTATTGAGTGCCTTGTCTTCAATATTAAAACTTGTTGAGTTAACTTGAGAGAAGCACTTTAAATAATACTGTACATATTTACAATATTTGTATGTAAATAAAATCTTAAATTAAGAACCTTTAGACTTTATTGACATATAACATTTCTACATACAATAAACTCACTCTATATAAAGTAGAGCTTATAAAATAAACATTATAATTATTAATATAAACAACCGCCTATTTAGCTATTTATTTTGACATTTATTAAATATGTTACAAATTAAAACCAGTTTCTAAAAACCATATGTATGATAAAAGTAAATAGCTCAACGATAATTCTATATGACTGAAACCTTAAAAAGAAAATTTTAATGAGCCATATTTCTACTCATATTTAAGATTTTGAAAAATGTATAATTTTATTAACGTTAATATTTTTTTGGCCGAGAATGTCGCGTTTTATGAAGAAAACAAACTATTTAAAAGTTAGAAAGGTTCGAATAGAAATGAAAAGACAACAACAAAAATTTTAGTTAATTTATTAAAGTCGAGAGTACGCGGCTAATTAAAAAAAAACAAATATTTCCTAAGACCACTGATGATGAGTACTTGGCAATACTCGAAATAGCATTGTATGGTCAGTCAAACTTCAAACCTTGTCTTTTCATTTCTATTCGAGCGCCTCTAATGTATAATTTTAATTCAAATATTATAATATAAAATGTTGTTGTGATATAAGAAAAGAAACTAGGAAATTCAAAAATCTTAAAAATTATTATTCCTCATGGGAAGCTTATATGGGTTACACAATTTTTATAAATTGAGGGGTTCATGCTGCAATTGGGCATTTAGAGATAAGTATATGTCAACGATTTTATGTTCTATATAAACCTAGTATTTCAAACAAATCCTTACATTTTAAGATAAAAAATATTGCTACTCATATCATAATTAATAATATTCTTAGTACAATAGTACTAAGTATAGTACATACTACTTTGCACCCACAATATTACCGTTTATATTTAAGTTATATTATTCTTAATATTAATATTAGGTAATATTTAATTTTTGCAATAACCCACATTACTATGTTGTTTATTAACACTATTTTATTTTAAAATTAAATAAGTAAATGAAATTTTTCTATACATTCATGGGCTAACTTTTATGTCTTTCTAAGCTCTGTAAGAAAAACATTGGCGTGAAACTGTCAAATTATCTCAACAATCAATACCAGATTTCATTTCACCAGTCTGGTTTTGAACTACTAAACTATAATTTTCTCTCACTCACTCAGAGGAAAAACAAAATAAGCTATACTGAGACAATCTAACAGGGCTATCACAATCAAATTAACTTATCGAGACCTTCAGCACATAATTATTTAAGAATTGTATGCAAGCAAAAAAAATACAACTTGAGAATTATTACACAAATTTTGATAGGGCACTGTGGATTAAAATATTATCTTACGGAATTACGAACTTACTCTACTGGAGACCTCAAACCACGTGCTAGGAGTTTACCGGCAATTATGCAAAACAAAAAGAATATCGAGGTGTATATATTATATCAGATGAAGATGCAAGACTACAATACTACAACTTATTAAGGGAGTTTAGGTAAAGTTATTAGGGCGATTCCTAGAAAATCACTTAGGCCTATTTGCCTATGTGTTACCGTATCAAACGAGTTCAACTTAAAGAAATCTTCTGAATTCATGAAGTGCACAGAATAGATCTCTAAATTGCAGTGCTAGTTTTCCAAACGATAAAAATAAAAACAAAATGAAAAAAAGCATTCCATGACTTTCTGAGTCATTGTTGAGTAAGAAAGTTCAACAGTCTCATATAACAATAAAAACTAATAATTACTACTTCAAAATATATACTCAGTTCTGGAATACTATAAGCAAATCGCAGTTTTTAGGGTGACATTTACGTTATTAATATTCCGTAATTTTGATGTAAATGTTTGGTTTTGATTAATCTTTGTCTCATTCCTAAAGTAATTTTCTTCACACTTCAACGTTTACAAAATGATATGGTAATTTTAAACTATCTAGATAGACAGTCTGGCTGCCATTTATCTTTAGGAATAAAATGACAATCCATTGAAATTGCAATAATTTCTGAAATAAACATTGACATTGCAATGTTACTTCGTAAAACATTCTTTTAGATAAAAAATAATATAATTCAAGAAAGTTGAATGAAATCTCACGCTGTTATTTTACAACGTATTAATTAATTAAGACTCAATCGTTTGTAACACTGAAGCACAAATTTTTTTTATACAGCAGTATGATTAAACTATCTTGGACTTATGCTTTCTAGTAAAGACCATAGTCAAAAAGATGTATAAGAAACAAAAATATTTTTAAGAAAACGCCAGATTGGCAAAGAAAACTTTAATCCTTTGCCTAGAAAACTTGTCTGTGTACCTAAAATCCACTAAGAAAGCTGGTTTTTTTCTTACTATTTTTTTTTAAATTGTATATTTTATTTAGGCAAATTACATATTTTAGAGGTCTTGTAGTATACAGAAGCCACACTGCAAAGGGAAGTAGTTTCCAACATTTATTTAATAATATGAGTTATAAACTAAATTATTTGGGTTAGCAACTGCTTATATAAATATTGTTTTATTTGGTTATTCCCACACAAAAGACTTTTATACTATTATTATTGAAGAAGAAAGGATACTGCACTGCGACCTAAAAGATCTATTATGGCTCTTAGTTGGATTAGAGTGTGTCTCAAAGTTCGATTTCTTTAATGAAAGACAATATAGAGCCTATATTTCCTAGTCTTGGATCCTTATGATCCATGAAATACCCTCGTACGTGTTTCTTCCGCTTGTGTGTCACTGCCGGGCACTCCCAAAGCACATGGTATGCAGTATTTCTCTCTTCTCTACATTATCTACTTTTGTTCTAACAATGTACTACATACTACATCAATTTATTTGTAAACGCGATAGAAATCTTTAAACCAATATGTATCAACACAAAACGTACTGTGGACTGCAAAAATGTTTTAGACTATTTATCTATTAATTTTTTCTATTTTAATTTTATAATCAATAGTTTCGACAGCTATTGATTGAAACCATTACTTTTAATACTAATTGTACATAATAAATTATCACTTTATATAACTTAGATTTATGAAAAGTTTTATATGATCACGAGCTAATTTACAGAGACTAAGCACTATTAAGCACTATATATAGATAAAACTAATAATTACAATTATATTTTTTATTTGAAAAATACTTTCCTGTATGAATAGATAAAATTTTAATATATTTTCTTTTCTGAAAATTGATACATTTTTTTTCACAAATAAATAATAAAATTAGCTTTATTTATGATTATTACTCATATTACTTGTACGTAAAAAATCATTTAAAAAAAATATGTTGGAAAGGGTCCAGTAAAACTTTTTCATGCATAACATATTTTTATTTTTTATATATGAATATTCCATACATTTTTAGGAGCTATGAGAACTTATATTCTTTTTTGTTAATAACAAATAATTTTTTATGACGGCCCGAGTTGACATTCATTCAACACATAATCTTATCGAAATTGTATGTTTTATACGTATTTACTGATAACACACGATATATTTTTTGTTATAGACGAATTTGAAACATTTGATGGAATTGTATTTAAGCTCAAAAGTTCACATGGTAAATCAAAGTTTATACTTTCATTTCGTATAATACACGTTTTGAATATACATATAAACACAAACTCATGGTTTTAGACTCACTTGGAAATTATAGTCAGCTAACATTATAAACAATATATATGTATTTGAAAAACATACTAGGTTGGTCACATAATGTTTGTTTAAATTGCTTTTCAAAAAACCAGCTCCGATGTATGATTGGTAATGTAGATGCGCTTATGTTAAATAATTTCCCAATAACATCTTTACTTCGGTAAGTATATAAATGGTTATAATAAGAAATATTTTTTAACTTGTTTTTATTTATACATACAATAAGATATTACCAATATGAACAAGTAATTAAAAACGTTCTCAGATTTATAGAAGTTTAGGTCGAATATTACCCTATCATACTTATATCATCATATATTAATATTATATATAAAATAATAAATATAAAAACAATAATAATAATAATATATAATACAGTCGTGTGCGAGTTCAAGTAAATTAAGGTAAATTGAAATTTCTTAGGGATTTTTTACAACTGCACTTATGTTTATATTTATTTAATGCACTTATTTATTATTTTTGGTTAAAAAATTTTTAATTTATTTATTTATTTATTAAACATCTTTTAAAATTTTCACAATGGTAACATCTAATTCTCCTAATTTTTACCCAATTTACCCTACTCGAAATTCTGGTAAATACCAACATTCGCTGCCATACCGACATAGTTTACTATTTCCCACAATTTACTGTTAATTTTCGAAATTGAAAAGTACAGAAATATAGTGAGGTTGATATGCAGACCTACAATAGCGCCTGTTTGCTATACATATGTTCCCCATTTACACTACTTATATATCAAATATTAATATAAAATTGATTTGTGATATAATTATAAAATTTTTTGTTGAATATTGACTCTATATTATTTGGAAGATATATGCACCAACTAATTTCTTTAAATAAACAACAATATAAATAATAGAATTTCAGTCTTAAGAATTTATGAAAAAGAGACTGACGTCTCTACGGGACATCTCAATGAGAATTTTAGAATTCCCTTTTTCGGAAAG